ACACCCTGCCCTACTTTTACTTTGGGAATTCTGCATTATCTTGATTTTTAATCTCCTTTTCTGGCTGTTCATTCTCAGGGTGCTTTGTTGGTTTTTCTTCACATCACAGACCTGTAGATTTTTAAGTGCCCAAGGCTCAAAAATTTTTTATCCCTGGGCCGGGATTTAGCTCAGTGGTTCCACTGCCTGCTTTGCAAGTTCTAGGTCCTGAGTTCAATCCTCAGTACCCCCCCCCAAAAAAAATTTACCCCTACACTTCTCTACATTCACTCTCTTGGTTGTCTCATCCATTTCATATTTAAATAAAATTCCCAGCAGAATACACAGATGATAGTTACCATATGATGCCTTCATTTACAAATTTTAACTTTATGATGGTACAAAATCAATGCACATTCAGCAGGAACTAGACTTGAATTTTAAATTTTGATCATTTTTCTGGCTAGTGATGTGACAAACAATAATCTTGTGGTGCTGAGCAGCAGCAAGCTGCAGATCCAATTGGTTGTGTGGTCCTGAGGGTAAATAACTGATATTCTAGTGTACTGTGTAGTCAGCAATTTTTGGATACAAGTATACATTACATGAAAGCACCAACACTTTATTATAAAATAGGTTGTGTGTTAGGTAATTTTGCCCAACTGTAGGTTAATTCTGAGAATGTTTAAGGTAGGCTAAGCTATGATGTTTGGGAGGTTAAGTGCATTAAATACATATTTGAGCTAGGATATTTTCAATTTACAGCAGGTCTATCAGGATTCAATCCCATTCTAAGTCTAAACACATCTGAACATGTTGATAATTTCCAAATTTATACACACTATCTATACTTACTCACCTGTACTAGCTTCAAATGTCCAATTAATGAACATGTCTCCTTGGCCATCTAATAGGCATCTTTTTTTTTTTAAATGCATTGCTTCTGTTTAGATAAGCATTTGGAATCCACAAATGTGTGAATGATGTGGATAAAGTATTTCCATTATACAAAGATTTTGATTTCTTTTTTTTCCCCTTAAATTCTTTTATTGGTACATTTTAGGTATACAACACAATTACATTTCTCATTGGGAACTTGTACCATTTACATGATGCATCTTGGTTCTTATTTTTTCCCCTTTCCTAGCCCTCCCTTCACCCCCTCCACCCGTCCCTAATTACAAAGACTTTATTTCCATTTTTTCCATTTCTCAGCATTTTTTCTTTCCCTTCTTTCCTTTCCCCTGCCCCTCCCACTATCCTTACCCCTTTGGACCTTTTCTTCCTATTTTGCATTATCGATTATTCATTCTAATCATTGGTACATTTTAGGTATACAATATAATGACATTC